TTTCGGAGTAAGAATAGTTGGGGGTTGGGGGTCGGGTTGGTGGTGGTGGTGGTGCTCATTTGGGGTTGCGGCGTGCTGGGTAGGCCGAGGAGGGAGAGGAGCTGGGAGGCGAATGTTTCGAAGGCCGGGTGGAGCGTGGCGAGGTCGAGGTGCGCAGGCACTGAAGGTTGGCCGGTCAGTTCGTTTGTGTGCAGTGCTGGGTTGAGGATGGTGACGCCGCCCCATTGTGGGATCAGCCAGCTGGTTCCTCCATCGGAAGATTCGATGGTGAGGGGTATTTCGGAAGGGGAGGGGACGTAGAGGACGAAATTGATGGTTGGTCCATGTGAGCCGATGCTTGGGGACAGGGGCCATTCGGCGGCATTGATGAAGGCGCTCAGGTCTTCGCGCCTAAGAAGGCTTGCATTGGTTTCTCTGTCCTGGAACGGTTGGATAGACGGCGAGTAGGCGGAATACGGCTGTATTTGAGAATTGATGCTGAAGTTGCTGATGATGGAGAATGCGGAGGTCCACGGCTGAATGTGTGTTTCGAGCGCAGACTCAATGGCCCAGGATGAGGGAGAGCCACCTGGCGTAAAGAGAGAGAACGTGAGATGATACGTAGATGCATACTTCAGTGCTCGATTTTCTCGAGCTGTGATGGCAGATCTGATATCTTCAGGCACAGACTCCAGATACGTTGCTGCGGTATTGTTGTTATCTTGGGCCGCGAGCTTGTAAGCTAGACCAGCTTGCTCTTCAGCAAAGATATTGTAGATTGTGCTCGCTGCACAGGATCCAAGAGCGTGAGTTGAGACTTCGCCATATATCAAGTCTGCCCTTGCAGAATGGGGATCGAAGGAGAGTTGAAGTTCAGTAGCATCCTCGTCTGGCACAAGGTGTAAATGCAAGGCTGGATGCGTGCTCTGAGGATCGTAGTCTTCCAAGAAGCAATCTGCATCTTCGGCAAATGGCTGACCCTTTCTATCCTTGATAGGGCGTGACTTGGCCAGGCGTACTCGAATTGGCTGTACAGGGAAGGTGTTCATGGCGTCGAGGACCTCTTGAGCTGTCTGAACAACATGGCGAGCATCTTCGCATACTAGGTCTGGACTGACGACCCATATCTCCAGGGGCAATACTGGCTGACATGCCTACAAGACTATCAGCGGTGACCTATTCGCTGAGACGTTGAGAAGCTTTACTGTTCCCTCGCTCCATTCCAGCATCTGTTGTATCGGAAGTCGAGCTCTGTAGATTGAAGTGGTCTGCCACCACATCGGCAGTCCTAGGAAGACTACTACCGCCCAGAAAGAGAGAATGACTTTTGTCCGGAGCCAGACTGCTTCGGGCTTCTCTGGAGGAGGCTGTTTCTTCGCAGTTGTTGCTATTCCTGGCTTCTTTGCGTTTTTCTTCGGCTCCTCAGGCTCAGTGGTCTTCTGTTCCGTGTCATCCTCATTGCCAGCATCTTCGCTCGACGCCATTACGACACAGAGAACCCTAGGCCAGCTCAGTCCTCCTCGGATCTTTTACTGAATTGCTAACGAAGCTAGAGATACGTGAAGACAAGAAAGCAGAAGATGGCTAACCACCACCACCACCTAGTAGTTAGTATGAATGTGGTTTAAGCTTCCCGCAGGTACTGATGGAGTCCCCTGAAGATCATACAATGTAGGAAATCATGAGGCTCAGATCTATCCTTGAAAGCGTTCACAACGCGTACATCAGAAGTAAGCATCAAGCAGCTTGAGAATACCTCAATGGTCATACGCGGAGGTACCCCAGATATGCAACACTGTATCTACGTAGTAAACGAGCCGGAGGGCCCTAAATTTTTTTGACTAAACAACAGTTTTGGTTGAAAGATTCTTACACCTAAATTTTCTACTCACTGTTTTTACTCTTGAAATTTCGTAATTTTGTACAATCATACAACGGACCTTTCCAATCATTCTGATACTTAATCAGCATCCTTGCCCTCAATCAAGCTCATTCAATATCTACCATTTTTGAACAGATGCAAAGTGTTGCAAGTCTAGGCCCGTTGCACTTCTGGGACACACCCATTACTAAGCTGAGAAAATGGGCTCTAGTCTTCCCAGACGTCTACGCTTACATGTCTTGAAAACTACCATCTTAATCCTCTGTATCCGCAGTCACGTACGACGATATTGATGCCTTGACCTGAACCTGCTCGCTCTCGGTTCCCTAATACGGAATTGAGAATAACCTCAAACACCGATGCCAGATGGAGTCCCGGCTCCCTACTATTGTACAAATCGTCAAGTAGTCGGCTTCTACATCGTCCCATTGCAGGCCTGTTACACACATTGCCCTTGCCTCATCGTAACCACCTATTCGGGAGTTGCCTTATCGCCATGGCGGATAGCTTTGATTCCCAAGCGGTCGAGCTGCCTTTGTGTGTTTGGAACCCCAAACTGCCTTGCACGCAGTTAGTACGCAGTGTCGTCAATCGAAAAACATTGCAAAGGAAGCTCCCAGTTGACCTTCACAAGGACTTCAAGACGCAGCACCACGTGGATGATTGTATTCCAATGGCAGGTCAACCGGACGCCAGATGATGCCGATTAAAAATGTCGATAATGTTACAGACAAATCGTGTAAACGGTGATATAAGACCTAGTATTTCACAGTAATGTTGATGCGAAGAGAGGAGGTTGCGTAAGTCTTGGATCATCCTGGGCGACTTAAATTGCAGGAATGGCATCCTCAATTTGCGGTGTTGATTTCTTTTCTATCTCATCCTAGACCGAAGATATAAAGAGGATAACACTAACTTATCACCCAGTTTCGCCAGGTGTATCATTTGTTTTCACAACCTCGGCCTTCCCCGGAGCTTGATGGTTGACGCTGAAGTGATAATGTAGGCTTCACATGTGTTCCCATTGACAGAGTCCAAAAAAGGTCGTCGCGCTGGTGATGGCCGTTTCCTCGATGGAAGCGGGCAACAAGGCGAGTATACTTGGGAGTAATTGTGAGGACCAGAATCTAGGATGTATCCGCATAGTGCGGCTTGCGCAGCATGCACCCTCAAAACTGTCCGGATGCTGAATAAGCACAGGCCTATGTCAACTTTGAGCATGATGTTGCCTGGTTTCGGAGTAAGAATATTGGTGGATCGACCGCCAAGTCAGATGCTCCTCTCTTGATTTCAGTCGAACTTGTCATATGTCCTTCGTCAGTGCATCGCTAACGGGCTTCAAGCCATCTATCATCTTTTCAAGCTGCTCGTCCATCTTCTTGAGTTCGTCTTTCTTCTTCAAGTTGACTTTGATCAGATTTTCTTTCGATTTCAACAATTCCTGGCGCTCTTGCTCTAGCTTCTCACGTTCCTGTCTCTCGTGCTCTATGCGAAGAGGCATCAGATCTTGCTCTGCAAGGCTGACTTGGTCAGGAAATATTTCGAGATAGTCTTCGAGTGGTAGAAGGGGTAGATTCGTGTATGCATGACTGGGCAAAGATGTCAGCTTAGAGTTTGAATTGTAGGACAGGAAAAGAGCCACATACTCATATCCTTCGCAAGCACCGATCTCGCCCATGAGATGTCTCTGTTCATAGTAAAGATTCTGCAATTGCAGCAATAGCCTGTCGACCTCCTGCCGTGCTTCTGCCGTCTCCTGCTTGGTGACCCTCACGCCAGAGATAGCTCGTCGGTTATGACCGCGTACCTGTGCCAGGTGGGCTATCATCCTCTTTTGGTATTTCGACAACATCAATTGTGCTTCAAGAGAGGGCTCATCACCCTGATTTTGATCAACCCAGCTTAGCATTTCGAGTATCTGCCCAAGCGCATTTTGAGATGCTGAAAGTAGGGGCCGTAGAGCAGGCTCGGTGATCAATTCTGCAACAGCCATGCGGAGTTTTTCTTGCGACGCAAATATCTACAGCTGTAAGGAATGGTTGGCAGAGTTGACTGATCCTGGAAGCCTAAGTTGCGTAACAACTTGAGCAAGATGTAAGGTTCCTATGCTGCAAATGTCCGAAAATGCCGCGGTATGTTACTGAGCAGTAGTAACTTACAGTACCAAGGATGTCCTTGCCCAGCCTTATAGCGAGTCCTAGCGTGTCTCTTTACTTAGTTACCGTTCTTCGTCGCGTTGCGGCCGCGGATTCGCGCTTTTCTACAGCCACGTGCAAAAGTATCCGGACAAAACGCGTCATTTTTGAACACGCGTTTTTTTACACCCTTTTTCAAACAACTACCATGGCTCAACGCAAGGCTCTGGCGCCTCTTGAAATTAATAGGAGCTATGGCAAGGAGTTATCTCCATACCAGCGAGGTCAAATTTCGGCGTACAAAGCCCTAGGGCTCACAACTCGAGAGATTGGTCAAAATCTGCATTGCGGCAAATCTACAATTTTTGATACCCTTGTTCAAAATCCAATGCGCAACCACAGCAAAAGCCTGCCTTGTTTAGGACGCCCTCAGGCCTTGAATAGGGTCCAAAAACGCAACATTCTACGCATTATTCGTATCAATCCGAAGATTACTTATCAAGAAATCAAGTCTGAAGTTGGTATTAGTGTTCATCGAAGTACTATCTATCGAATCCTCAAAGACGAAGGCATTACTAATTGGCTAGCCAAAAAAAGACCTTTATTAACTCTGCAATTGGCTGCTAAACGACTTGCATAGTGTAAAGAACGACAAAATTAGACGTGGGCTAAGTGGAGCAAGATCATATTTAGTAATGAATGTTCGCTTAAAAGAGGCAGTAAAGCGCGTTGAACATAGGCCTTTTATACATTACAACAACGTTGGAATACTGATATAATTAATACATATAAGAAGGGCAAAGATATTAGTGTTATGATATGGGGTGCAATTCATGGAGAAGGTCGTTCAGATATCGTGTTATTAGAGCGCGATCCTGATTCAGAGAAGTCAGGATATACTGCCAACTCTTATCTGGCAGTGCTTCGTGAGCAGATGCCTCAGATATACAAACCAGGGCTCAAATTCATGCAAGATAATGCTCGAATCCATACTGCGAAGAAGATTATCAATTGGCTT